AACATGACACCTCGGTGAACAAATAAACGGACCATTCGTTTGACAAGATATTCATTATACAAAGCCTGATTAAATCATGTTACGATTGAGAAATGTAGTAAATACGTGTGCGTGGTTAACTAGGAATATATAACTAGAATTACCTTGAGGTGGTTGATATTGTCCACATCTTTTGCCGCTGTAGCCATGGGGGCACTTGCAGTAGTAGTCAACGGATCCCCAGCTGCGGTCCCAGCCGTTGGACGAGCTAGTCAGACACACTCCACCATTGAGACAGGGGTTTGGATAGCAGTAATCTGTAAAAGTAGACATGTATTACCACTCGGTAAAAAATACAATAAAGTATCTAAAGAGTTATAGCCAACTTGTGATATCAATCTGTATATGTTCAAAATTGAGGACATGTATTATCAGGGGTTAATAATGACAAATGTCTGTCAAATGTCTGTCAATGTCTGTCAAATGTTTGTCATTATTAACACCTGGTATTACGTATGACGCGTCGTTGTATGAGAACTAGGGTCTTTCCCGCTATTGCTCGTGAAGCTATTTAGTTTGCGATAATCACGTGGGTCTTCCTGAACATGGCGTCGGTTATTTATTAATGCACATGGTTACGCCAGGCTGATCACCCCTATATAAAAAGTTTTTAATGCTATCAAGTATGGCGATAATATATATATATATATATATATCAGAAAAAGATAATAAGGAAATTTCCTATTATCTACGTCTGATATGGTCTAATGGTAACATATATCTGATGTCTTACAGAACAATTAAGTTATTAAATATCACCGTACTTTCTACGAACGTGGTAAACTAGGTATATCTAATTACCTTGACTTTCATAATGTTCACATTGCCTGCCGCTGTAGCCACGGGGACACTTGCAGTAGTAGTTAACGGATCCCCAGCTGCGGTCCCAACCGGAGGACGAGCTAGTCAGACACACTCCGTGATTGCGACAGGGGTTTGGATAACAGTCATCTGTAAATTCAAAAACATGACAACTCAGTGAACAAATGAACGAACCATTCGTTGGACAAGTTAGAGAGAGGGGGAAAGAGAGAGAGAGAGAGTGTGTGTGTGTGCGCGTGCGTGCGTGCGTGCGTGTGTGCGTGCGTGCGTGCGTGCGTGTGGTCTCTGTGTGTGTGTGTGTGTGTGTGTGTTGTGTTGTGTTGTGTTGTGTGTGTGTGTGTGTGTGTGTGTGTGTGTGTGTGTGTGTGTGTGT